AACAAGGGGGGGGGGGCTTGAGAAAAGTTTTTTCTTCTGCATGTGACATGTCCTCTTATTACATAGTCTGCTCTAGATGTAGCCAGTTAAATGCTCCTATCTTCCCCCAACACAGTGCGTGCAGAGATGTTTGTCTTCAGTGGTGATTCTAGCCACGCCAGGGGTGGGTGATTTAAAAAAAAAAAAAAAATCTCACTATTGTTTGTTATAAATACTCACTCATAGGTTCAATTTTTATAGTACATTGTTATGAATGGGAGGCTTTTCCATAGCTTTTACTACAGAGGAGAAGTATATATCCCCATAAACAAGAGCCCCCAAAACGACTGCATAAAACCTCTATGCCAGTGGTCTCAACCTTTTTATGCCCAAGATCACTTTTGGAATCTAAGGGCAACTCAGGATCTACCTGCCCCTTCCCTGAGGCCCTGCCCCGCTCACTCCATCCCTCCCCCCTTTGCTCACTCTCCCCCGCCCTCACTCACTTTCACCAGGCTGGGGCAGGGGGTTGGGGTTCAGGAGGGGGGTGCGGGCTCTGGGCTGGGGCCAAGGGGTTTGCAATGTGAGAGGGGGCTGTGGGGGTGTGTGTCAAGGCTGGGGTGCAGAAGAGAATATGGGATGCTGGCTCTGGAAGAGGGCTCAGGGCTGGGGTGCAGGGGGGGTACGGGGTGCTGCTTCCTGCCAGGCAGCACTTACCTCTGGTGGCTCCCAGTCAGCGGCAGGCGCAGTGAGGTTAAAGCAGGCTCCCTGCCTACCCTGGTCACACACCGCTCCCAGAAGGAGCCAACGCGCCCCTGAGGTGGGGGGAAAGGAGATACATGGCTCTGCGCACTGCCCCTGTCTGCAAGCACAGCCCCCCACAGCTCTCCTGGCCAATGGGAGCTGCAGGGCCAGTGCTTGCAGGCAGGAGCAGCATGCGCGGAGGGAGACCCCTGCCCACCCCCGGGGCTGCAGTGGCCGCTTCCGGGAGCAGTGTGGAGCTGGGGTAGCCTTAGGCGGCCACACTGCACTGCCACCGGAGATCGCGATCAACTGGGAGATCCTCTAGGATCGACCAGTTGATAGTAATCGACTGGTTGGTGACCACTGCTCTATGCTGACCAAGGACCTGATCTTGCAGAAACTACTCAGGTCCTGTTGACTTCAATGGCAGTTCCACATCCATGGAGCACTTGCATTATTGTGTCACAACTGATGACATTAGAAACAAAATACAGAAAGGCCACTCATTAGTTGTGTATAGTAATGACTGATCTGGAAAAATGCAAGCCTTGTTTTAGCTTTCTAAAGATGGGGGATGGAAGGAAGATACATTTTGATCCCATCTCAGAATTGGTTAGCATGTTTCTCCTGGTTTTGATCCAGTCCAAGAGATCAGATGCTTAAATTTTATCTGGAAAAATTAATAGATGGTACTTTCATGCTGAAGTTTTAAAGCGTACTCATCCTGGCTGAACTACAGTCCTGCAACCTACCTAACACAACCAAATGTAACATAATGGAGCTCAGAAGGACTTCTGGGTAGATTGCAATCAAAGTTAAAGATATCCCATTTATTAACATGCTCATAGTAATGATTTTTAAAACAGTATTTTGCAGCAAAGCAGATTTCATTCTAGAGATTTTATTCTATTATAATAATTTGCATTTTTCTTGTACCTTCTATCTAAGGATCCCATTATGCTTTACAAACATGAATGAGCCAAATCTCAACACTCACTGAGATAGGAAAGTACCTCCATTTTACAAGTGGAAAAACTGAGGCACAAAGGTTGATTTACACAGGAAATCTGTGACGGGATGGGAATACAAGCCAGACTTCCTGATTCCCACTCCTGTGCTTCAGCCACAAGTACATCCCACCCCTGTAACTTTAAATGAATAATTAGCTGATTATTATGGAGCATTATAGAGGTTATGAAGTTTTATCTGTACTGAAAACTGGATGTTTCAGTGCCCCCCCCCAATGTTTTTAATATTAAAATAAAATGTTTATAATAATGTTTTTAGAATTTGCAGTACTTTGATTTAACAGTTTAGAAATGTCACTGAATTGACCTTGAACTGAACAGTGTTGGTTCATCTCTGGATCAGACTCAGTATATGGTCAATTTCACATGAAACCATTTTGCTATATTAAATATTTTTTAAGATTCCACTCATCCTTACTTGGACAGAATTCCATTAAAGTCAAAGGGAGTTCTATCTGAGTAAGGATGGCAGGATTTGGGCCTTTTATTTTATATAGTTCAGCTTTTAAAGCAAAACTTAATAAATCCTAATCAATGTAATTTACAAGTGATTGTCTGAAACCTTGTAATCTGTTCTATTCACATTCTTATACCTGAAAATTGGACCATACAGCATTGTACACAACTTCTAATTGTCCAGATTTGGAAAGAATCTGGACAGTTAGGCCAGTAAACTTTTATATTTGATGTCTTATACTTGATTCTCCAAATAGTTGTATTGGGGTCAAATGAGCAATTGTACCCACTCATATAGTCCATATTTCGGTAATGAAATTGGAGAACATTATAAATATTTGAATTGCAGTAAGAGCTTTTTTGGATCGTTAAAGCTGCTGTGATAAATAGTTGCTTTCTGGTCACCGTAAACCAAGTTAAAAATCACAAGACTACATACTGTGCCCACTTATATACGGTGCTCAGCACCAGAACAAAATCTTTATATGTAAACATGTAGCAAGAGTGACCGTTTTATTAGGATTCCACTGTGGGAAAAGTACAGAACATTTTGGGAGTGTTGTCAAGGTCAATAGAAACAACAGAAAAGTGAAATGTACAAATATCTCACAAAAGTGTTTTCCATCCTTTTTCTTTTGTAACCTTGAAGAATATTCCTCACACAAGAAGCATGCGTGTTTAAAATTCTGTTCATAGGTGTACGTATAATTTGTTTCCAGGAAGGCTACGTAGTGGACTAGCAGCAAAGGAATGTGACTTTACATTTTGTATGTGACTTGTTTTTTTAAAATAAAGTTTGGTGTTTGCAATGCATTCACCCAGTCATTCCTGTGCAGCCTCACCAGAAATCTTAACCCAAGAGACCCTTTTCTCTAGGGATCACACCCCGCACTAATGAACAGAAGTTTTGAATTGCGTATGGTGTTTTTTCCCTTAAATGTAATCTCTTGCCCACTAAAGACAGACCTGAGACCATCACATCGGGCACGTAGCCCTTTCTATATCTAAAAGATGTTTTGAATTTTTTCCCCATAGTCTGTAGCTCTGAACGAGGTGACTGGGGTATCTCCTAAGCTTTGCCAAGTTAAAAATGATAAACTAAGTAATATGAATGGAGAACATGAAGATATTACAATGGTAGGAAAAGAAATAAAGGAATATTCTAGGTTTGCTTGCTTTTCTTTCTTAGGATACAATCCCGCAGAAACCTGCCACCAAATGTAGTGCTTACTACTGGGAGATGTCCCCTTTGAACTCCTCAGGGGTGCAAGCGCTGTAACTATTTGCAGGAGGCGGCCCTTAGTTTCCAGTTCCACTCTTTCTCTGCTCAGCCTGCTCTTTATTTAGAGACTTCTTCTGGAATATATCCCTCCCTGACCTTTCTTGGTTATTAAAAAAAAAAATAGGCACCTGTTGTCCAGCTCAAATGCTTGATGCAAAGAACTACTGTTATTCTCTATGGCATGTAACATTAATTAGTCTCCTTTAATTTTTGCATGATTTTTCAATTTCATTTTTTAGAAGTTTCATAGATGTGCTTAGTTTATATGTCCCATCCCACATTCTCCCCACCCCCCAAATAAAAAAAAAATCAGTACCATTCCTTCTGTATTGGAAACACAACATAGTCTAATCATCACGGGATGGATCGCCTCTCCTACCATAAAACCCACAGGAGAGGAATAAGGGAAACCTGTGCAAAGTTCTTCAGAGTTTCTCCCATGATATTCTGTCAAGGGAAAAGAGAGGCGATCTGCAGGAGGCCCGCACTCCCCCACATGGAAACCCCATGCCCCCTCACTAGCTCTGGAGCACTTGTGGCTGCCCATAGGACCTCGTTTAAAAGCCAACCCTCTCCCCCTTCTGCTGCTTCCTGCTCTCCTCCCAGAGCTCAACGCTGCAGGGCACTGCTCCATCCAGAGGAGGTGGTGACATGGGCAGGGTAAGAGCAACATGCCAAAGGTCTCGTCCTCATGTGAATCAAGGTGGGCAAAATCCGGCTCCATCAAACTGTTACAGCAGTGTTCAAGCTACTGCCATCGAAGTTAAACAGAACTCAGAATATTGAACCATATCATCAATGGCAGTAAAACTTATTGAAATCAATTAGGCTTAACCAATTTACACCAGCGGATTTGGTCCATTCTTTACAACCATACTTTACCAACTTTTAGCAACCATGTATTTTTCTCTCTCAAACACAATTAATCCTACTTGCCATGCATATTGCACTTTCCATCTGAGGATCTCAAAACACATCATATTTTAAGGAAATAAGACTTGCTGTACTTGTGTCATAGGTCAGCAGTATATCCCTATTTTACAGATAAGGAAACTGAAGCACAGAGGGGTTATATATGACTTGCCTGAGGTCATGTAGTGAGTCTGACAGAACCAAGAATTGAACCCAAACTTCCCAGTGCTCAGTCTCATGCCTTAACCAAAACCCAGCCTTTTCCTCTAGCGTTAGATTTACAGTTTTGTGGTTAAACCCTTATTAGTAATATCTAATTTAAATGACAATAGGATTGATTCATATTCTATATCTATATATTCTGAGCCCTCTGAAACTGAAATCTCACAGTTGGCAGCTCATTTGCCTTAAGCTGTACAACAGAATGGATGAGAGGGTTTTGAGTGGCTTCTTGCTGGCTAAATATACCAAAACATAAAAAATGCTCAGCTTCCTTCATCTCATTGTAAAAAACAATGTAACATTGTGCAGGGTTATGCTTTGTTTATCAAATTTGTGTCCTGTGAACTATGAAACTCAAATATTGTCAACTCTTTCAGGAGGAAAATGAGATTCCTGCCAACGTGTTTGTGAAAGAACCCGTTCCCAGTATTACAGAAGGAAAGGAAGAGTCTGTGGATGAGAACAAAACTCTGGAAGAAACCTTGCATACGGTGGAGCTGTCGTCCGATGATGAAATGCCTCATGACGAAGATGGTCTGGATGACAGCGTAGAGGAAAAAATGGGAGAATCAAGAGCTGAGAAGATAAAAAGATCAAGCCTCAAGAAAGTGGACAGCCTCAAGAAAGCATTTTCTCGCCAAAATATTGAGAAAAAGATGAACAAGATCAGCACAAAAATTGTCTCAGTTGAACGACGGGAGAAGATTAAGAAATCGCTCACTCCACATCATCAGAAATCCTCCTCCTCCAAAAGCTCCTCTTTCAAAGTGTCTCCCCTCACATTGAACGTGAAGAAAGTCCATGAAGGAGAGACCCCTGCTGAAAATGAGGACAAACCAACAGAAACTACAAGCAGTGAGCAGGCAGCGAATGAGGAGGAGACCTCATTTACTGAGGGGCTCTTGGATATCACACCTCCAACTTCTCTAATTGAGGAAGGCAAAGCAATAGCTGATTCTCTAGAGAAAGAAAGCAGAGAAGGGGACGTGATGATAAACAGCAACATTGAGCTCTCAATTGTTGAAGATGATGAAGAATATGGGACAGCACTAGAAGTTTCTAGCCAGAGACTGTATGATGAAAGAAACAAACCAACCAGTGGGGAAACAGAACAATCTGATGAAGAATCAACTCAAGCAGCTGTTCTCCAGATAGACCAAACTGCATAATAAATCTGAGCCTTCCTTTGTGTTCAGAAATGCAAACAGGTTTAGTTAAGCAAAGAAGCAGTGTATATTTCTGTTACACATACAATGTATCGGGTGACAATGATTAAGTTTGTTGTTTTCTGTGCAGTGCTAATGTATTGCATAGTATTGAGAAGCAGAGTAAACAAGGTCTACTATGCAGGCAACCTACAAGGTGCTCCATTCCTATACTAGGTCAAACAGCTGGTAATATTAATTTAGAGTTGCTGCAGTCAGTTGCAATTGGAGAGATCAGGAAAAGAACCTGACCAGTGGAGGCAGGCTGGTCAACTGGATTTTTAAGTTAGATCAAGGAAGTGCTTGGATAGTAGTCAAGAAATATTTTTTTTCCCTCTTATTGCAGTATTTTGTAGCTGTGTAGTAGTTTTTATATAAACTTAATGTCACTGAACACTCTAGCTTAGCTTACCTTGCCTTGCCATGTCCTGGATATGCTAATGGATTCAATAATTGTTGTATATACCTGCATATTTTATTTTGGGCATGGCTCCATTTTACATTCTGACTAGAAGAGGGTGAAATCCTGCCTCCTGAAATCAGGGGAGTTTTGCCATTGAGTCAGTGGGGCCGGGATTTCACCCAGAGTCTTTTGTTAGTCACTTAATAGAAACAACTGTGTTTATATGGCAAAGGGAGACAGGATTTTGTAATTTACAGCAGTTTATAGAAATAGATGACTGACGAGGATGTATGTGTAACTAGCTACAGTACTTACCATGAGATCTTAGGTAATGCTTGGCAAAAACAGTGACAGAGATAGAAACAAGGGATGATACGATAGAAACTTAGAGGCGATATGATGAAAGAGCAGAAGGGGAGAATGTGAAAAAGAAACGGAAAAAATCTCTACTGCCAGTATAAAGAATATACACTCAAATAACACAATTAAATTTCTACTTATTCCTTAGAGCAGTATATTTTCCATCTTTGCACCTGTACTTAAGAATATTTTGAAAATAGCATAATTTATCTATATAAAGATTTTCATATATGTAATGCTATACCTACAGAATAGTTACATAGTTACAGGGATGTAAGGACAAGGTAAAGTTTCGTGTTTCTGGTCAAGATGTTAAAGGATAACAGTATGTTGTGGTTTTAACTGTTTGGCAAAGAGGCCAATTTATACAATCCGTGGGGTTGGATTCTCCACTAATGTTACAACTTTCACACACAAAAAATCCTATATATTCTCAAATTACAGGTTGCAAATTTTGAAAAGGCATTAAAAATGAGGGGTTAAAGAAATTTCATTCCCTTTGAATTTTCATTCCAGCTATTTATAAATGAAAAAAGAAAAAAAAAGGAAACCCTTAGTTGCCTTACATCCATGTTATATTTATGCATTGTTTGTTTGTTTTCTGTTGTTTCCTGAATACTGAATTCTTGTTACATAACATTGCACTAACATGTTGCTTCCTTCCTTGTATTAAAATTACAAATGATTTAAAGTTTTCTAAGAAAAAAATACACAGTACAGAATGCTTACCAGAGCTCACACCATGGAGGGAAGCAGTCTCTTGAACCAGTAAATCGCACTGGAAATTAGCCTATAAGCATAGCGGATTTTAAACAGGCACTGTTAAAAGTTAAGCTCTTTATTATATAGTATCACACAAGAACTATCATCTGTAAGCAGAATGATGACATAATCCATGCAGCTACATTATTTTGTATTAACCAAAATGTAACTCAGTTATTCAATACTTGTACTAACTACAGATGTGATAAGTAAATAAACAAAAAAAATCAAACTAATACAACCATGTCAGTGTTTGGGCAAAGAACTGAGAGAGGTTGGTAAAAACAAAATTAAAGACTAAACATTTACTACTTGGTTTATGTCCCAATTGACCCAATAACATTTATTTCTTGTTCCCTTGTTCTTATTTAGAAATCCAAGCACCATTTCTCAAATTTAACTTTTCAAACATCACCTTGCCAGCTTGCTAAAGCATCTGAATATTTTCAGACAGCTTCGTAAATTTGATAGTTCCATCTGCATTTTTATTGCATTGTACTAGACTTTTAATACTTTAAATACTCCTACAAGCATAATTGTATTGAACTGTACATTTTGTTTAGTCACACAGATAAATTTGTGTCTTCTAGAGTGCCACATAGCCTTAGTAGACTTAATTTTACTGACAGGCCAAAGCATACATGTTTAACCTTTATGGAACAATTGTCAACTTCTTGCAGCCATGAAATGCTAGCTAGGGAACCGAACAATGTCTGTTTTGTTTCTCCTTATAAGCTTTAATTCAAACAGTACTACTGAAAAAAATGGCAGTCAGACACTTTTTGTTATGTTTTACAGACACTGGACTTAATTACATGCTCGGTGTTCTAAGAGCTTTAAAACCCCATACAGTAAGAACTCCAGGTGTTCAGCACCTTTGAAAAATCAGCCCAATAGATAATTAGTACAAATAATTACTTCAAGAAACATCGTATACACAGGGATTAGTCGTAGGGCCAGAACTAAACTTTTTTCTAAGATTTTATATTTATACATTTACAAGGACCAACAGGTCTGTAATCCTAGCAACATAAAATTATCTTTGTATAAAATTCATAAGTTTATTCTGTTGTCTGCTATCTGCTTTATTGCATCCCATAACTCAGCTTGGAACAAAGGAATTTCTCTATCTTAAAGTCCCTTTCTGTCTTTGATTTCCTTGACTCCTGAAAATGAATATTAGTCCCTATAATATACTTTCATGGGCAAATGTCTGCAGTGGCAACATGATATTTTTTCCAAAAAAAATTAAAATATGTGATTGTCAACCTGACATTTCACCTAGGGGCATTCTTCTTCTTTTTTTGTGATAACAGGTATTTATATATTTAAACAAAGGTGCATCTACTTCTCTGGACACCCTTGATATCACGTAAAAAAATGTAGGTCTCTTAACATGAGTTTTGTGCAAAGATTAAGTACAGTAAGGACCATATGGTTGAACTACTTACATTAGTGGCAGCCTATAGCTGCTGGTGCTTCTATTTTTAGTGCCATAAAAACTGTTGACATTCCTATCCACTTCTGGGTGAAAAGGCAAGGAGCATCCCTTTGACCTTCATTCGTTATCTCTGGCCCTGGACACTATAAGAAGACACTTCTGTGAAAAGACATGGTGATATGGGCCTTCTCTATCCCTTTATTATCAAAGAAGGAGAGCTGGATTGATGGCTTGCACTACAAAAGCTTTGTTGATCAAAAAGAAAGAAGATATACATGCCAGAAGTTATGGTATTTTTACACTGTTTACGTTGAAGAAATTAAAATACAGTTTTCCATCTGGCCTGGTAACCTCTATAATGCGAACATTAATTGATGGCCATACACATTACAATGTTGGGTATGCTCAGTAAAGCTAGTGCAAAAATGACACCTTGTTAGTGAACATACCTGCTGACAATGGGACTAGTCCAACAGCCACTGATGTCAGTGGAAAGACTCCCGTTGATTTCGGAGGGTTTCGATTGGGCTCTGTGAGTCACATTATGCCCCAGAGCCATACATACAATCCCCATTGATATGAGGACATGATATGGCTCTGTATCTCCCTAATCCTATTCGCTTAGTTCATCGACAGAATAAAAAGTTTTACTGCTATCAGCAGCTCAGAGCCAACACAGCTGCAGAAAAACAAGCTCTATTCTGCTTTGAATGGTGCATCATTAGCAAAATTTCCAGCTAAGTTCTGATTCCAGGGTCTTTACCGTTGGTAATTACATACAAAGGAGAAAACACAGCTCGATTTTCAGATAAATTGAGGTTGCAGTTGGGGGGGGGGGAAATCTTGTTTTGAACCTATAACCTGAGCAAACATGCTGCAGAAGCCACTGATGGAGCATGAACATGAAATGTCAAGCTGTCATTTTCACAGCCAATTTTCTTACCATACCTCATCATTGAAAGTGCTGGAGGGCAACTGTGGTTTGCAAACCCATCCCTTCTAATTATTTTTCCCCCTAAAGGTGAGTAAGATAAGATGGGCTAGATTCAGGGGTGTAAAGATTGCACTTCTCTGTGCCACCTCAATCCCCTGCTTGCTAGTGGGCAGATTAATCTCAAAGAAGGGCAGACAGTTGTACTACCACCTACCTGTGTTAGGGCTTGGCTTATGTTCGTAGCTGGAGCTCCTTAGGAGACTGCAAATGCTGAATCTACAGGGCTACACTCTGCTTCTGGTCCGGCGCCTCTCATTCCCAAGCTAGTGGAAGAGAGGCTGTAGCTTCTTTCTGCTGCTTTGGAGTTTCTATTGCTGGAGTCCTGTGCCAGCACCAACCCCAGGTGTAATCTAGCTGTATGTATGTAGAATCCTTAAGACATTTAGGCCTCTTTTTCTGCTTTCTCTGCCCTTTTTTCAACCATGTCCCCTTCCTTTTCCCCTCCCACTCAAACATACATGCCGCTGTTTGAGGTACACACTAAATTCACTCAACTAACTTTTCTAATCGTGTATGTTTTGATTTAACCATCAGTTTAACCTTCAGTGTCTCTTGTGTGGGCATCCCACGTACTGAAGTGCCTTGCTGTAACACAAAATGAATCTGCTAGAGTTTGCTATTTATCTTTCTTTCAAATCAGGGATTAGCATCTACTGTATGACCTTTGGCACTAACCTCCTTTTCCATAGCAACACAAAAGGGAACAAACTATGAGTCATAATTTCTCTGTAGGAGACTCTTTTGTGTGTGGGGGGGTAATTTTGATCATTTTATAGTTCCTAAAATATATTAGCTGATTTAGAGCTCTGGCATACCAGCTTTTGATTCTGTTTTGCCTGAACATACAGAAAGAAGAGGTCTCCATTACTCTTCTTTGCTGTGTGATTGTGACAAGACTGAGCTAGACATTAAACAACAATATATTTGACCCTAATTGTAATTCTCTGGGTCTTTAAGCTCCAATGGCATTCAGTTTTCCTACAAAAAGATAGTCGTTTGCCTTAGTTTTAATAATTTTAAATGATACTGATCTGCAAAAAAAACGTGTGCCTCTCAACGTGCTTTGTAAATCGGGTTCTGACAGCTGGATTGGATCCCATCTGAAAACCACTACATATCATACTTCATGGCTGTTAACTTGTAGGCATGCTATGCTGTCAGTAAGTAGCTTTAAATCCTCCCACATTTCTACTCACATGTAACAGTGGCAAAATACAGCCTGAAATAAAGTATATCTGTCTCAGTGCAACAGGAGTAGAGCGCTCTGTGCTTCCATGAGTGGGGATCTGGTTTAGGAACAACCTACTGTAAATAGTACACTCCTTGGAGCACCTCTGTGGAGTGGAGGTATCAAAGAGGTGATACGACTGTGTTTGAGGGAGTCTAACTGATAGCTACATTCCTCTTCCAGCATAATCTGCTATTGCCTGGAGTGAAGGATTCAAGACACCATGCGGTGCAATCCACCCATTTACTTCAATAGGAGTAGGATTGGGGGCCTACCGGGAAAGCGGATTGGTAACAGAAAAACAAAATTGGTCAACTGCCATAACCTCGAACGAAGAGGCGGATATGAGTGTAAACCAGAGCTTTCTTGTCATGCCAAAATCCTAGCACCAACATTTACAATGACAGGTTTCAGAGTAGCAGCCGTGTTAGTCTGTATCTGCAAAAAGAACAGGAGTACTTGTGGTGCCTTAGAGACTAACAAGTTTATTTACAATGTATTCATTACCAAAAAGACTTCATTAACATGGAGTTAAGATTACCCAGTTCTGCCTCGTGCCTTTCCAGAATATGGAAGCACCCACCAACTCAGACCTGTCACAAATGGGCCACACCCAGCCACAACTAAATACATAGCTAGGTTAGAAAACCAGAATGGCACAGTCAATGTAATGCCAACTGCACCACACACCCTTCACTCCTCCCCCTTTAGGCTAAACTCAGACCTCTGCAAAACAGGAAATAGAGGGTCAAGATAACGCCTCCCACACCACACCTCCACACAACCTTCACACTGCCCCCTTTGATGGAGGCCTGGAAGGGAGATCACAGCACCGTAACCATGCTAAAGATATGGAGAAGAGTGAAGAAGAGTACTTTGGGGAACCTGTAAGGACTTAAAGTTGTCCAAGCCACTTCATTCTTATAAGAAGTTATCCCTAAAACATCACCTTAGCTTATCCCTCAATGACCCTGGTGGTCCAGCGATGTGTAAACAAACGTTAGTTCTCTCCAGAGCAGTGGTTCCCAAACTTTAACAACCTGTGAACCCCTTTCACTAAAACATCAAGTCTTGCGAACTCCCTCTTAAAAATGAATATTTCCAGGGATTTTCTCCTTTACCTGGGTTTAAATTATAAAAGCAGTGATCTTGGAAATATAAATTTTGTTTTTATGACATGCTCATTACACACTATTATTATTTATCATTACAGTATTTTTATTACATTATGAAAATGGCAACACTCTTCCAAGATCTCACTTTCGTAGCTTGTATCACTTGGAATAAGCCTGTTATAAGACAAGGCTCCTATGTTTCATCAAGGAGTATCAGATGTGAAACAGCATGAAGGTACTTAAGAAGCCAACTCAAAGAGTTCCTCCTACACAACCATTCAGGTCTTAAGCAGTCCAGGCAAACAACGCACGTTACAACAAAGCTTAAACTTGTTCTTCACCATAATTTTAAAATAATACTAGCTGCCTATTTAATTTTAAAAACAGCAAAAAATATCCACCTCCCTTTCCATTTCTTATAAGGAGTCTTGAAGTTTAAATCTCCTCAGTGTGATAGAGATGCTTGCTTTGATCTGCTTAGCTCTTGGAAGTCCAGGGGCTCCAGGCTGCTGGCCTGTGCTGCCCGGGGTCCCTAGGGTCAGCTCTGTCCGCCATTAGGGAATGTTTTCCCGAGAACCCCCTGTAATATTTTGCGAACCCCCAGGGTTCACAAACCCCAGTTTGGGAACCACTGCTCCAGAGCAACGGTGCAGCACAGAGGACAGGAGGGTATGTGGGAGTGTGGATAGCAGTGCAGATCTGGAGTTATGGGCATTGAGAATATGCAAGGGATTGTTAGGACAGGGTAAAGTATTCCTATATTGCCCGTCCCTCTTGACATCCCTCTTGGGATGGTTCTTGAGGTGCTAATGTGGGCTATGGTAGCCAGCATCGAGGACTCCCCAAATCATTACTGCTCAACATAGCACAGTGAGGCATAGTAGAAATGTCTGACTAGGGGTAGCGAAGTGGATTTGTGGCAAGCACATACAACTCTTCTTTATTCACAGTGCTTATTGCCATCTCCACAGGGGCAGAGTTAAGGTGGTGTGGCGTCTAACAAATACCCCTGCTATTTCTAGATCACTTCTTAAAGTGTAAGAAACACTCTAAGACCAAACATTTCAAATTGGGGTGCCTAAATCCAGGTTCCTAAATCCATCTGAAGGCACCTAGAGAGACATGGCCTGATTTCCAGAGGTGCTAAGTAACGGTAGCTTCCATAGAGTTCAGCGGCAGCTTGGGTTGCTGTGAACTTCTGAAGATCAGGCTCTTTCTACTTGGGTACCTACAGACTACATGGATTTAGGAGCCTAAGTTTAAAGCATCCAGATTTGAACATTTTGAACTAATTTTATAGGAAGGTGACTTCAGCACTCGGATGGAGTGATGGAGATACAAAGCTATGAGTCAGAGAGGAGGTTACCCTGCTGACTGAAAGCCTTAAGAGATGATAGGTCACCTAAGACCTTTGTGCATATTATTCCTATGTAAATTTTAAAGAAGGGATTTTCTGTTCCCATGCCCTGCTGCATGCTTTTTCAAAGAATGGCTGCCCTGAGGTTTA